TTCACGTAGCCGGTATGACAAAGTGGTGCGAGGTCGTTGGTGGTGTCGTGGTTGGGGCCGAAGTTGCGGATGATGCTCTCGGTGAAGTACGCCCACTCTGTCATGGGTGTATCCTTTGGTGCGCGCATGTACCACCGGTGTACTTCACCGGTTAGATGAAAGGCCATGTAGTAGGTTTGTTGAGACGGTATATGTTGGAGATTTGCTGCATGCGTGAAAGCCATGGCCTCGGATCCATCAAGCCGTTGTATGTAGGCGTCGTGAGATGGGTCTTGACAGGGGCATATCGTCATTGTGGTGTAGTTGGCAGTACTGGTGGATCGACCCTTCATACCTGCGGCCAGGTGGTCGGCTACTGTTGTGGTGGTGCCTTCGCCTATAGGGTAGCCGCCGGGCTGACTGGGAGTCGGCTGGATAACTACGCTGCCAATGGTGTCTCCTGCTGATTGGTTGCTGAGGCGTGCTGGTGGTGGCGATGGAGTCATTGGCGGAGTCGCAGTTGACGGTGTTCTTGGTAGGAGCTCTCGCTGGTGGTTGTCCTAGACTGTGACTGGCCGGATGATCGGAGGCCCTTTCAGTGGTGGGAAGAGTGACGCCATTGGAGGCTACGGTGATGGAGGTGCATCTGACAACAAGGTGTCGGGGACTTGGAGGATGATCTCTGGGGCGCTGGAAGACTGGGGTTTGTCCAACTTGCGCTTGAGATAGGATTTGTCGGCGGCAATCATGACTCGCTTGGTTTTCGCAGTCAGATCATCGATGGCAGCTTCACGGTCCAATTTGGCTTGGACACTGGTGATGGCGGCATTGCCGTGGATGCGTGCATGCTCGATCGCGTGTAGTCGTTTCTCGAGGTTGACGAGTTGGCGATGCATCTCTCCAAAGTTCTTGTGGAGATCGGCGGTGAGGCTGTCGAGCAGCTGCTGCATGGTGGTGGTGGTGGAGTCCATGGATAGTCTGGTCTCCAGATACCAGTGTAAGAGCCTGGCAGGGAGGGGCCCTAGGGGGTGGCGGCTAGGGTCGAGGAGGGAGCTATGGGCGGCGGTGTAGGGAGAGGGCGGCGGCTCTAGGGTAGGAGAGAGGGAGAGGGTCGGCGCAGGAAGGAGGGAGAGGGGAAGGGGAGATAAGCCTTGAGACAATCCTTTCTTGATTCCAATTATTACATAGCCCCTCTACTTATAGTCCTGGGTAGACTTGCATCTTAAGTAATCTAATGAGGGAAGTCCTTATAGATATGGACTTCTTCCTATCTTAGCTAATCCTATTCCTATTGGAGATCCTCCGGATATGGATAGTGGAGCGGCGGGGATCTGCCCTTGCTTGTGTGTGCCTCCCATCGACGACGGCCCTCCTGGCGCCACTGCTGCTGTTGGCGCCTAGGCCATGTGGGCCTAGGGCCCTCATCCGGCGTATGACAGATTACCATAGCACTGCGCCATGTTGGAGGAACCACCCATGTTGAGGAACCAGTCGTTGCTCTAGATGGAGGTTGGTTCAGGGAGATGCTGTTGAGAGTGGCGAGGAGCTGTGGATCTAGTGAAGAAGATGCACCGGCGACATGTGCTTGAGGTGCTGCCAACGGTGGTGGAGCATGAAGGACACCGGCGGCCGGTGGTGGAGCACATGGTGGTCCCTAGAATGGCCAAGCCTGCACCATGCCAGTCCACGGGTTCATGTTTGGCCAGAAACCCTGTGGCGGCGCGGCGTTGGAGTTGAAGCCCTTCTTTTTCTTCTTTTTCTAGGAACCGCCCCTACAAATGCATAATTTGTAGAGACGGTATGGTAGGGGCGGCTGGCCAAGCCGCCTCTACAAAGCCTCACCAGTCGCCCCTAGAAACCATTCCTGTAGTAGTGTGGGCTGGGAGGATGATGCTGGTGGACGTCCGCCGGTGGAGGAGTGGGCTAGTGTTGACGGCACGGAGGGGGGTCGGCCGGGAACCCCGTGCGACGGAGGCGCGCCGTGAACGGCGTGCGACGTGGGCACGCCGTGCATGGTCTGCGCCACGAGTGCTGCCGCGACCTGGTACTGGGCGGCGGAAGGTGCCGACGAGGAGCCCGCGCTGTGGGCATGCGCGACGAGTGCTGCAGCAGCCTGGAGCTTCTCAGACTCGTTGATGTGATGTTCCTCGAGCTACAGCATGGATCGGGCCTTTAGGAACGACGGTAGACGGCGTCGCAGCGTGATGTGGGGGATGGCATGATGGAGACGGGGGTTGAGGCCGTGGCCGATGTTGTAGACGAGGTCCTTGTCATTCACTGGAGCACCAAGGCCACCGAGGCGATCTGCCATAACCTTCATGCGGGAACAATAATCGAGCACCGGAAGATCACACCTTGGTAGAAATTTCAAAACTCGGCACCGAGGTAGACCGCACGGGTGTCCTTGTTGTCGCGTAACAGGTTGCGGACGTCGCGCCAGAGGGAGTAGGCGGTGTCGGCGTCCTCCGAGACGGTGGAGAGAACCTCGGGGGAGATGCGGTTGTAGAACCAAGAGACGATGGCGCAGTCGTTCTGCACCCAATCGCTGTCGCCCTTGGCCGCGGAGCCGTCGGCGTGGTCACGGAGACCATACTGGCCGAAGATGGCGGAGAAGGATCGAGCCTAGGCTGTGTAGTTTGCCTTGTTGAAGTCGAGAACGATCGGCACCCGATTCAGGATGTTGATGCCGTGCACGCCCGAGGGAGCAGCGGGCTCGGTCTCAACGCGGAGGGTGTAGGGCAGCAGCGATATGATTCAGCATCCGAGTTGTCGGAGGCCGGCGATGAGGAAGAAGAGGAGCTCATGGCGGCGGCAAGAGGGAAGTGGAGACGGAGGCAGCGGAAATTTATGATCGAGGAGCGGCTGATACCATGTAAGAGATGGAAAGAAAGAATGATGACAACTCAATCTGTATTGATCATCGGTTTCCAAACTTATACATGTACAACACAAGTCAGTTAGCCTATCACTAGCTATACTGAAGGCCAGCCACAGAACGTGGCGTGCAGCTCGCTAACACCTACTTCCTCGCGATCTCGTGGTTCTTCTTTGCCGGGGTTGGAGGGGTCATGTCCGCCGTAGTCTGCATGGCCACCACCACCCACCTCCGCGACCGCGACCGCGACACCAGCACTGGGAGGAAACTCATGTACGTTCTCCTCGCCCGGCTGGCCTCCGTCGTCGGCGCCATGTTCAGCACCACGACCGCGCTGGGGATGCTCGGACTCGCCGCCGCCTCAACACGGCCATGAACCTGCAGTCCCTGTGCCAGCCCTACCAGCCGCCGCGGGCCCTGCTGGACAAGAGCGACTACTACTACCACCTCGCGATCTCGGGGTTTTCTTCGCTGGGGTGGCAGGGTTCATGGCGGCCGTGTCCGTGAGGGAGGGTGGCCAGGTAGCCAAGTGAATCCATGCAACGAACATATAAAAGTATGCCATGTGTGCCCTTTATTGTTGCCATGAACCTCGTCGATCAATAAGCAGTACGTGCTGTCAACCTATAACTGCCAGCATGTTGGCACCACTTCGCGTTGGCTGAACGCGTCTTGTTTCGATCATGTGTGTGTTCCATTTTGGGTCTGGCTTGCTCTGGCCTCTGGTGGATCCATGACCATGGGTCATGGATTTTTCGAGCCGAGTACTCAAAAGTGTATCGTTATCACCTACCATAGCACTAGCACGTCGCGTACCTCTGGTTTTTCTGGACACCGTCTTTCAGTCATCTTCTCCCCCGTAAGGCCGACAGGCGAGATCGTCGTGCCAAGCATCCAGGTGTTGATGTGGGGGTGGGAACAGAAAACTGCTGGGGAAAGAGTTCTCGTGCATGAACAATAGCCGGTGCATCAAATATTGCAGTGCACAGCAGATGGGAACTTCCGAACTTGTAAGCCCATAATGACAAAATGCGAAATTTCCGAGTACAAGGTAAAAACAAAGCTGAAGTAGGTAGAAATAGAGTTGGAGGAGACTTTGAGTTCCGTCTTCTGAATTTGTTGGGCTATGTTTCATGGCCCAGATTTATTGGTGTAGTTTTTTTTTTTTTTGAGCAGAAGATTTATAGGTGTAGTTGTGCATAAGGGTAGGACGGTGAACCGGGCTAAGGGTGGTTTAGGCCTGGCTAGCTTTAGAAATTTAGATACAGGTTTAATATTATGTTTAAATAGGTAGTGTTTAAATTTTAATTAAATTCAACACTCAAACTTTACTCAACAATTAAACTAAAATCTGTAGCATGAAGGAAATTTTAAGTGCACGGATTTGAATTACGTATTCAAATTTGATGTAAGAATTGAGGCCTCACCTTAATTTGAGTTTGTTTTTTCTTTACTTTTGCGAACAGATGAGCTGGTTTGGTTTTTGTGGTGAAATCTTCCAACAGGGTTTAAGTCCTTTAATTGGCGCGGCGGGCTAACTTTTTTCAGAAGTACGCTCATTCTGGATCTTTTTTTTTATATTTGTTTTATAACTTGACGTGGGCAGGCTCGAAAAGGCACATTTGACACTCCAAGGGTGAGAGAACAATGTTCACGAAGATAGGAAAGGTTGAGCTCTCAATGACACTCCACGACAGTGGTAGCAAAGACTGAGCAAACAAGGTGTCTGGGGCCGGAGCCCCTACAGCGATTACACTAAGAGCCCATTTGGCCGGGCTCTGAGCGGCTCTGGCTCCTCTGACTCCTCCCCGTTCATCTCCTGTAGTGACACTGTTCACCGGAGCCATTTTTCTCTCTCCTCCTTTCCTCTCTCACTGACAGCGCCAGAGCCGGAGAAGCTCGTTTTTTTGCTCCTTCGGCTCCAGCTCCTACGCGCTACAGTTGCGCTACAGTGTGGGAGCCAGAGCCAGCGGGAGCCCAGCTAAACGCGCCCTAAGATCAGGGTAGCAGGGTCACACGCAAAAACGGTCCCTTCTATGCCTGACAGTGACAGGAATTAGGAAAGCGCACCGGCCCGGCGATAAATACTACTCAGCCCCATTCGCCCACATCCCCCACACACCGCAAGCGCGGCCGCGTTGCTGCCATGTCGACCACCCTGCAGCTCTGTACCAACGGCGACGACGCCGTCTCGATCGGCATAAGCCCAAGCGATGCTGTGGGCGCTGCTGCAGGCGGCGGCAACTCCATGCAGCTCCAGCGTTGGCTGTGCTCATCGGGCTTGGGCACGCTGATCATGGATGCGGCCACCGCGTTCTACAGATCGCCGCACGGAGTGGTCTTCGAGCAGCATATGTTTGCTTACTACGCCACCCTCGTCGGAATTATCGCTGCCGGGCTGGCCGACGTCGGGACGGCCTGCTGGCTGGCTAGCTTCAGCCAGCGAGGCCGAACCCGCGGTCGCGAATTCCACGCAAGCGTCGTCTGCGCCTCCATCGTGCCTCTTGTTGCCATCATCGCTCTCGGTGGATTCTCTGTCGTCATGAAGGGCTAAGCCGGGAAGTGTCGTCGGTGAGTTGCCGAGTTGGCCAGGTGTGGTTAGGCGCTAATCGACTGATGTGTTACTTCTCTGCATGCATGGTCGTCCGTTGGATCCGTCGTTGTGTCTTCTTTTCATATATCTATATCTATATCTATACCTATACCTATACCTATACCTATACCTATACCTATACCTATACCTATACCTATACATATACCTATATCTATATCTATATCTGTATCTATATCTATATCTACATCTAATACTAAAGAGGTAAAATTTCTGGTTTTTTGTTTTCGTCCAGCCCTCTCCAATATTGGCTCGGCCTCGCCTCCCACGGTTAGGTTAACATTGCCGAGATAAGGACCGGAGAAGATAATAGAAAGAAATACAGGGTTCCAGATGTAAAGATGCTAGAGAGAAAGAAAAAGTGAGAGGGCCTTAATAGTTTTTGAAATAGATCGGAGTTCCTGATGTAAAATGTCCAGATCCGAATAGGCCTGCTTCTTTTTTTTTTAACCTGGGTTGAATTCTTGTAGTTGGGCCGGCTTCGCCGTGGACTGGACCAAGCCCATGCAAGCCTTTTCCCTTTACTTTCGTTTTTCTCTTTTTCTATAAAAACAAAGATCTTGCAAAATTCACCAAAAATTCATAGAAAAATCAAAAAAATGTGGGCTTCTTTTTTCAACCTAGGTTGAATCCTTGTAGTTGGGCCGGCTTCGCTGTGGTCCGGACCAAGCCCATGCAAGCTTTTTTCCTTTTCTTTCGTTTTTTTCTTTTTCTATAAAAACAAAGATCTTGCAAAATTCACCAAAAATTCATAAAAAATCAGAAAAATGCCAAACCAGTTTTGTTAGCTTCATAAAAATATGAAGTAATAAGAAGAGAAAAAATGAGCTATGAGACCATGCATCTCGTCGTGGAAGCGAAACAGCGAGGGGAAGAAGAGTTGGCGGCGCCTGTGTCTACATATTACGTGAGACAGAACAGAAGCAGGATTAGGATATTTATTGTGGGTTGGATGGGCCGCTGAATAGAAAACCACACCTATCTATTCTAACTTTTCCTTTTCTTTTCTTTTATTTTTTTAATTTTATTAAATGATCTGCACACAAGTAGTGGCTGAGTGTTATGTAGATTCAAAAACGTTTTAGTATTCATTTTCTTTTCTTATTTCATATTTGGTAGCCTTATATTAAAGCCTAAAAATTCTTTCTTTTGTCTCTGACTGTCCCACTCATCCACTCACTCATCTTCAATCCCTTGGTCCCTAGTTATTCACTCTCACCTTTCTCGCTTTAATTTGGAGGTGCAAAGTCAGTATTGGCATTGCAGCACTCATATCATAACATGGCCGTCTGAGCTTGTTCACATAACAACTATCCATTTAAGTTGGCTCAATCTTCTGTCAATTTCTCATGCGAGATTAATCTTTTATTTCATTAGCATATTATAGGCCTTAAATTTATTTGATTTAAGATTGGACCAAACACAATATAAATAAAAAAGCTAGCTTATTATTGGCACAATTACCATATAAAAGATTATATGCCCGTTGCAATGCACAGGTATATTTGCTAGTAATAATAAAGAGGCAAAATTTCTCTCCACCTATTTTTTGGTCCGGTCATCCCTTAACTAACTTTGTGAACGTGGAAAACCACCTATAGCCCTATATAACTATGAATCCTAATCCAATTAGATCTCTCCGATTTCTCGTGAATAAGAATCTTAATCCAAATAGAAAAAATATAATAATATGGACAACTAGGAATCTTAATCCAATTAGATCTCTCCAACTCCGAGTAACCGAAATAGAAATCTTAATCCAAATACAAAAATATAAGAATAGAAATTAAAAATTGAAAGGACCTTGATATCGCCTAAAAGGGGGTGAATAGGCCTGTTTAAAATAAAACTCAAACTTCTTTGTCAAGATATAGGCGCGCATCGCTGCTCCCCAAGGTGCAACCTTTGCCAAGATCTTGAAAGATTGTCGTCTTCAAAAAAGATCTTTTATTGCGCTTTGAGACAAGCTCGAACTATAATTCAAAAAACTGCCCAAGGAATATTGGATCAGGTAAATTACTGAGCTTTCTGAGGTAGTGTTGAACCTATTCCACCACTTGAATCATAGCAGAAGCTTAAGAACAAGTAGATCGGGACCAAACCCTAAAATCACCATAAACACAAGTAAAGCAATGCAAATCACAAGAACACAAGTGAGACACCGATTTATTCGGTGGTTCAGCTTGCCACTAAGGATTGCCAATGTCCATGTTGTTGAGGTTGCCACAAAGGCTTTGAGTCTCTTTTAACCTTTTTCTCGTTCTCAAGTCAAGAGAATGAACTCTTGAGATGGGGGGTGATTTCACTAGTTGTTTGGGGTGATTGCAAACCTCCCGCGATGCTCTAGCCGGCTAGGAGCAAGCTCCAAGAGTAACAAACACAATCAACTAGCTTGAACGCGAACCAAGTGCTTTGGCAGTTGAAGAACAGTTGGGGCTTCTCTCTAATGCAGTTTGGAGGCTCAAACTCTCTTGGATTTGGAATGGAATCAAAGTGATAAGCTTGAGGGGCTCCAATGGTGAGTGAGGGAGAGAGTGCTGCTTTGGACGCACCTGGGAATGAAATGGTCGATTTGAACCGGTGACCGTTGTGGGAGAGAGGAGAAGGTATAAATACCTCGGCTCCCAACGGTCAGTTAAGTCGCGGCAGTGCCGCGGCTGAACTGTGGCAGTGCCTCACCTGAACTGCTGCAGTGCCTCGCCTCAACGCGACAGTGCCTCACCTGCCAGGCAGCATAAAAGATAGAATTGTCAAGCTTGCTGTCTTGGCTAAGGCTTTAAAGATATTTGGTGGGTAAATGAGCACTTGGTTACACATTAAAGCTTGTGCATTGTATCTTCCTTTATAATACGACTTTTTCTAAACATGAGCTAATTATAAAACTAATTGTATAAGCCGTGACTAATTCGTGAGATAAATTTATTAAGCCTAAGTAATTCATGATTAGCATATGTTTGCTGTAGCATCACATTTGCTAATCATGGACAAATTAGGCTTAATAGATTCGTCTCGCGAATTAGCCTTCATTTATGCAATTAGTTTTGTAATTAGTCTATATTTAATACTCATAATTAGTATCAAGCATCCGATCTGAAGTTTAGTCACAAGCATCAAACACCCCAGCGACGGGAAGGACTAAGGGTAGGTACATTGCTACACGTCAGCTGTCTCGTACGCCGTCTCATGCAATGCCAAGTAAGATTTTTGCTGATGTATAGGAAAGAGAGAGGAAAAGAGAAAGAGGTGATTGTTCATGAGCTAAAATTTAGGACTATGAGACAACTATTATACCATTGTATGAGTTGTTACCATGCAACTCACAACTTTACTTTTATTTTATACACAAATTAAGGTAGTACGAGACAACTTTTAAAATAACCATTGTATATGTTGTCTCTTAAACCGTCAAAAAATTACATAGCAGTACGTGAAACTATATACGGACAAGATCAATGCACTTGTCCTAACTGGAACGATGAATGCACGGGGACCCAACTCCCCACCGGGTTTACACCTCCTACTGTTTGAGTTTTTAGCATTGATCCATCTCTATTTGATCGTATTACGCTTGATTTGCTGTAAAACAAAACATTCGCTTTGCGCTCTTGGCCTTTCAACAACCCACGTTTCCATTTGGCCGTATTACGCTTGACTCGCTGCCATCGCTTCACACGGTTTGCCTCTGGTAACCCTCGTTTTCTTCCGGGGACCTTTGGTACCCCTACGTTGACTGATAGCCGGACAGGGACCTTTCACCTTTGGTATCCCCCTGATGGGGATAGCCGGAAAGGGACCTTTGGTACACCCCGCCCCCGAGATAAATAGCCCCTCCCGCCGCGTCCCCGCCCCCAGCAAGTGCCGCCGCGTTGCCGCCATGTCGACCACCCTGCAGCTCCGCACCAACGGCGACGACGGTGCCGCCGTCTCGATCGGCATAAGCCCGAGCGAAGCTGCGGGTGCTGCAGGCGGCGGCAACTCCATGCAGCTCCAGCGCTGGCTGTGCTCATCGGGCTTGGCCACGCTGATCATGGATGCGGCCACCGCGTTCTACAGATCGCCGCACGGAGTGGTCTTCGAGCAGCACAGGTTTGCTTACTACGCCACCCTCGCCGGAATTTTCGCTGCCGGGCTTGGCGAAGTCGGTACGGCCTGCTGGCTGGCCAGCTCCGGCCAGCAAGGCCGAGGCCGCAGTCGGGCGTTCAGAGCGGGCATCGTCTGCGCCTCCGTCGTGCCTCTCGTTGCCATCATCGCACTCGGTGGATTCTCCGTCGTCATGAAGGGCTAAGCCGGGAGGGAAGCGTCGGTGAGTTGGCCAGGTGTGGTTTGGCGGTGATCAGCTGATTATTTGTTACTGCTTTGCATGCATGGTTGCCCGTTCGATCCGGAGTTGCGTCTTCTTTTCATATATAAAGATGAAAAAGGTACTGATTTGGTATATATATTGTAACAGGAGTCAGCAAGGGATATTTGTTGTGGGTTGGATGGGCCGCTGAATAGAAAACCACATCTATATATTCTATCTTTTCCTTTTCTTTTTTTTCTTTTTTTAATTTTATTAAATGATCTGCACACAAGTAGTGGCTGAGTGTTATGTAGATTCAAAAACGATTTAGTATTCATTTTCTTTTCTTATTTCATATTTGGTAGCCTTATATTAAAGCCTAAAAATTCTTTCTTTTGTCTCTGACTCTGTCCCACCCATCCACTCACTCATCTTCAATCCCTTGGTCCATAGTTATTCACTCTCACCTTTCTCGCTTTAATTTGGAGGTGCAAAGTCAGTATTGGCGTTGCAGCACTCATATCATAACATGGTCGTCTGAGCTTGTTCACATAACAACTATCTATTTAAGTTGGCTCAATCTTCCGTCAATTTCTCATGCGCGATTAATCTTTTATTTCATTAGCATATTATAGGCCTTAAATTTATTTGATTTAAGATT